TCATTTCCACCGACACGTACACACGCCCATCCACAAGTATTTCATTCTCGTTATATTAGTCGCAGTAGGTCACGCCGATAAGCCTCAGCGGTCACACACACACACACACACACACACACACACACACACACAATCACGGTATAATACTACCATACGTATACAAAGCCGGTACAGGACGCACACGCAAAGACACGGACGCATGCGCCCCGTCCAACAATGGGGGAGCAGCCAGCCAGCGAGTACTATCATCCCGGACCCGCTGCTGTGGTTAATTAGGCAGCAATGCTGTTAACGTCTCCCTCAGCCCCCCTCCCCCTTCCCGGTGCCCATCTCGTCGACCCTAAAGAAAAAAAAAAATAATAATAATAATAATAAAATAGAATTTAAAGAATCTGGGGTTCTATTTAAAGTAAGTGTAAATAACTTGAACAAAAAGTATATCGAAAGGTTCAAAGCATCCAGAGACTCGAGAACAAAATCATTAAAACTCTGGTGTATTAAAAGCCGCGAGGAGAGGACTACTTACTCATTCAATCCTAATTGCGTTCACAGATAAGAATGGGGCGATGAAAAGGAAGTTGTTGACAGTTGCGAGAGAGACAGAGAGAGAGAGAGAGAGTTGGCAAGGTCGAGGAGTCGCTCCACAATTGTCTGGGCACCTGTAAAACAGAATAAAGGGACACGCTGGCGACTGTGCATTAGCACATTTTAACACAGCTCAATGGAAGATAAACGAAAAGCGGCTTCACACATTTTCCGTCATTTGTTTTTCAGTAGCTAATAAAAAAAATGTTATCAGTGAACCTATTAAGTATCCATATTTTTTGACTCGCGTCATCTGGCATCCAAAATTGAATCCAAGAATGATAATTACACATTCCCACTGATACCCGACTCTACCTAATCACGGCATACCATCCGCTCAAACCCGATAACGAATAACGGTTTGTGTCAGCGATGAAACAAATCTTAAAGAGAGTAAGACAGCCCATGTTGCATGCATTGCTGTAAATTTATGTCTATACTTCTGGTAGAGTAAAAAAGTAATTAAAAATGGAAAAGCAACTGCAGTCAAGTAGATTGCTCCTTTCTCTCATAAAAAATATATACATATACACGAGCGCGGTTACAGGGAGGTTAGATTCATCTATCCGGTTGTATCCGGTTCTCCGCTTTCTGTACAGGCGATATACCCATGCATGTTCCGTGTGTACATATACATGCATAAGTTGTACAGCCACGGGCGCACCTTTTGCTCTTCGGGAAGATGGGGAATCGACTCGCGAAAGAGAAAAAGTCTACGCCTAAGCACTTCTCTCTCGGAATTCCCGAGAGTAAAGGTATCCCCCATCCCCCATATTACAATTTAGAGGAGCAGATGATGGAAAATGCACGCCACACATAGGTACACCTTCAATGAATATCCCCTCTCTGAATGTGCTTCATCTTTTTGATATCTCTACACTCGCACGCGGTAACACTATATTGTTTTCCCTGATTTCTGTAGCTTTTCTCTTTTACTTACGTTAATTTTTCTTATTTATATACTTATTTAATAATTAAATTAATTCGTTCTCACGACACAAAATTTAGCGCCAACTGTTGCCAAGGATGAAATTAGGTTGTACACACTATCGGATTAATGCTTGAGGATACTATTTTTTAAAAAAGAGTCGACGAATTTTCGTAGATAAAATTTTCTGCACCGACAACATGGGGGTGACACCTTTTCACCAATTTGCCACAGTTGTTGAGGCAGAGACGTGGACGGAAACAAAACTCCGTTTAATAACAATACAGAGCCCGACTCCTTTTTGGCCTGCAGCTACCCTTTTACTATATACATTGAAATATTGAACATGAAGAAAAAAAACCACCTCCGTTTGCTGAAATGATTGTTGTATAAATATTTATCAGCTGATGATTGTATACAACTTCCAGCCACACTACCTTGATACTTACATTAAGGGTGGAAACTGGAAAATGCATGGCTCCCAATCACCTATAGAATTTCGCGCACTTGCACATAACATAAGGAAATAATAATTAAAGTAAGTGTACTAACTTGCTGGAGTTGCGGTTTTCCGACAATCCCTGGAATGTACCTGTGGACGTCATCCTTGCTGGCTTTAGTATCCTCTGGATATCACCGAAATTGTCGAAGAAAACTGCACGAGCACGACAACCGAGAGAAGAGAGTAAGCACAATAACTACACGCGCACGTCTCTACTGAGAGTATAGTTGGGTATATGGATAGGATACCAACCTTAGTCTCTCGTCTCTCGTCTCTCGTCTCGTGCGCGCACACCCACACACCAACACACGGCGCAAAAATCGGCGAGAGAGTCGTTGTCCGTTGCGGGAGAGCACGCGTGCGCTGACACGAAGCAGCAGCGGAGCAGCTGGCCCCGTCCGCGTCCGCCCTTTCTCGCAGTTACCGAGGACGCCGAGGAAGAGTGTTTGTTCTTTTCCCCGGGAGCTCTGAAACGTCAAAGAATTGTCACAAGATCAGTCAAAGTGCAATTTATTTGCTTTGATTTAACACTTGTTACTCTGTTGGATTAAGTTGGCAAGGTTTTTTTAATTGGTTATTACATGGTTGACGGGATTTTCAAGGGTACGAGGAAAACAAACTGTCATTGGTGATGAAAATTACACTTTTTCCTATTGAGGTTAACTTTACCGGGGTTTCGGATATTTTCAAAAAATCGATTTTTAAAGCAATTTTTATTAGCTGTGGGTTAGTATACCTACGATCCGATTTTGACGAAAATATTGGGGTAGTACAAATATACATTCTTACCACAAAATTCTGAAAGTATACAAATGATGTCGGGTGATAACCAAACGAAATGTCTTCTTTTTTTCTTTACGTTAATAATTATTTGAATAACAAAACGTTGCGTTTACTAAAAGAACAATCGATTTAATAGCCATTATTAATTGCTCTTTCACAGTTTGTTATTAACCGATAAACAGCGCGAATTCAAATATAACGTATAACGCGGCTCGGTGATTCGTGAGTCACTACGTCCTCACTACGTTGATCAAGTACCGGTCTCAAAATCAATGTTTCCATACGATTATTTAAATATCTTTTAAACTGCCGCATTCGTAATTCTTGTAATTAATTACGGTAACAAACTTGTATGTTAAATTACAATGTAATAATGTTGCATTTCTTGAATTTTTTAGTGCATAAGATAAAGATTATTTAAAAATTCAAAAAACAGTAGTAAAAACTGAATTTTTAAATTTTCCTTATGTGTTGTTCAAAAACGGAATACAGGTGTAATAATTATATTATAACGCAGTGAGTTTTACGTTTAATGGTTTTATTGTACAAAAACAAAATACACAAATTTGTTGACTGTCTTTATTGAACCGTTAAAAATCATTTTATTTGTGTCACTAGTAAATAATGAATATAACAGTTGATGATAAATCATCAATGCATACCCGAATAAAAAAATGCTCTAGTTATTTAGTTAGATAGGAAACCAATAATCATTCTATAACATTTCAATCAAGTTAAAATTCCTCACAAGTGATTAAAAAATAAATTTACATTATTTAATGTATTATAATTGCTACTATGTACAATTGCACTAGAAGGAAAAACATAATTTTACTATTATATATTATTTTAAGGCTAGTAAAAATAAGAGTATACTTTAATTATTACAGAAAAGGTTGATTCTTAAATTGTAAGAAAAATTGATAACCTCTTCGTAGCACATTAATTGTTGAGATGACTAAAAATATAACTTACATTGTGAAAACCATTGATGATGAATAATTTAGATTTTTGATGAAACCTAAATTGATGCCTAGATTCTGCTTAAAGACATCATAAAACGACTAAATTGAAAATAAACCGTTTTATAATGTAACATTTTTTTTAGTAAGAGTTAATTGAAGTGCGTAAATTGAAATTTTTACGCTTTTAATACATTACAATATATGTTGAACGGTGATAACATTTTTTTAACGCTACTGAACTTATGTCTGCGCGCATCTGTCTCGATTTTAAGGAGACGCGTTGTGACGCCCGTTTATCGACGATTTAGAATTTATAATTAATATTCATATCAATGGGCGTCACGACGCGTCTCCTTAAAATCGAGACAGGTGGGCGCCACTGATTGTTCATCATTTGTCCGCAGCCCATTAGAAAACGATTAGCTGGTGGGCGGAGGTGGAGGCGGCGGCTGCGCCAACAGGGACGGCAAACTATTGAGATCGATGCCCGGCGGTGCTGGTGCTGGTGCGGGCTGAGGCGGTGGGGGGACAGGACCAGCAGGGGGCCAACCGTGCATCTGTGGATGTTGGGGTGCTCCCCATCCTGGTGGACCTTGGTGTGGGTAGCCCGGAGGTGGCATGGTGCCAGGTGGTACGGGCGGTCGCATCCCCGGATTTGGAGGTTGCTGAGGAGGTGGAGCTTGCACCCCGGGAGGTTGAACTGCTTGTGCGCTTGGTGGCTGGGGATGAGAAGGCGGCTGCTGCCACGGCGGAATGCCCACTGCCGGTGGTGGGGGCTGCATCTGCACTGGAGGTGGTGGTGGAACTTGTCCCGGCGGTGGTGGTTGGTTATTACCCGGAGTCATCCACGGCATCAGCGGAGGTATCGTAGAATGAGGCTGCTGAATTGAAGCCCCTGGAGGCGGAGGAGGCGGCTGCATAACTCCTGGTGGAGGTGGCATGCTCACTGGGGGTTGACCCCACTGTGGTGGCATATTCATGTTGTTCATGCTGTTCATGTTATTCATGTTGTTCATAGAATTCATGTTGCTCATGTCTGGCTGTGACCAAGGCGGTGGTGCTATTCCTGGAGGTGGTGGTGCCATCATGGGCGGCGGTCCGTTAGGTGGTGCCATCATGCCCGGTGGTGGATGAGCTGGAGCTGCCATAAGAGCACGTGGCGGCTGCTGCTGTTGTCGGTCGAATAATCCAGGATAACTCGAAGCTGTACTGGTAGCGGGACGAGTGTTTTGAGTTTTAGAACGATCGGGTGGCGGACCTTCGCCAAGTTCAGCCATGAGCGACATGTATTCTTCGTCTATTTTGGCCTTGTCTCCAGCTGGATTACTGGCAGCTGCAGGTCCACCCATGCCAGGTCGTTTCGAGCGACAATCGCGAGCTATGTGACCTGCGCCACCGCAACTCGAACACACAATGTTGTTTGTGACGTTAGGTTTGTCAGGGCACAGCCAAGATTTGTGATCGCTTGCACCACAATTTGTGCAGCGAGGACCATCGTTTTCACGTAACGTGCCATTGAGAAGAGCAAGCTCGCGTAACTGGTTACGACGCAAGTCATTCTGGCCTTCTGGCACCTCTACACCTTGTCTAATGATTTCGTGAATCTGAAGAAAAATCAAGTTATCGTTTGATGTTTAAATTTTTTTGGCGAATTACACTAAAAAATATAAGCAAATTCGGCATGCGATTTTAACTTACCCTCTCAACAGCTTTTTTCACCGCTTCAAGATTATTGGCAGTTATGTAAGCGTGAAGTGGTTCATCCTCTCCAGGTAGAGGTTGTCCGTCTTTACGACCTACTTTTCCTTCTTTTACACTGCCCTTGCCTCGAATTATAATTTTAGCTCCAGTTTCTTTTTCCATGGCTGTAAAGAAAATATCGATTAATTGATAAAATAACAACAATGTTTGTTTCAATCATTTTTTGACTTTCACGTACATTTCAATGTGTTACCACGCGGCCCAATGAGCAATCCAACAAAGTTGATGTCAGGATGTTCTTCTTGAGGGATCATGACTTTGTCGTGAACTCGTATAATGGGTGGCCTGAAAACGATCGCAATTATTATCAATGAATAATTTAGCAAGTTTGTATTATTTACTGCTGAAATTTATGAAAAAATCTTACTTATAATCTGGTGGTGGTTTAAATTCAGGATTAATTTTTAAAATCTTTTGAATGAGATTGTGACGCTCTTCTTCCAATTTCCGTCTTGTCCGATACTCTCGTGTGTTTAACCTTTTGCCGTCACTACTGTATATTGGTTCAGGTGATGGGGACCTGGAAAAAAAAGAAGGTATTCCAAATATTGTCGTTATGTAGATATAATTTATGTTCAAGCAACCTGATCTAATTTTTTTTGTATTTTTTTTTCCAATGAAATGAATTTTTTTTTTTTTTAACTTTTCAAGTTATTTCGATATTTCCGATTTTTTAAAGAGCAAGAAATTTTACTGTTGAATAAAAAAAAAAATTTGTAACAAGTTCTGTTTGCATCAGAAAGAGAGCATGCTTTTTATGCCTATCTCGAAATTTTTAGTAAAGTTAATTTTTTCCATGATTGTCCTATAATAGTTCTTTGATCTCTGCTGACGTCTCTTTACGGAAGCTGAGCAGAGATTGATTTACAAATAGTAGATAACCAGTGAAGTCTGCAATGTTTATGCAGAAATGTAGCTCAGCTGCTAAGGTGCTATGAAAGAGAGTAAGTCCTGTGATTATTAAAAAAATTCAATTAGGTTTTTTTTTTTACATTAGTGTCAGTTGAATTCTCGTATTTGTGCAATGCTAATCTAGATAAATAATCATTATTATAACCTATTGGAATAATGAAATTTCGTTAATCTTCATCAAGAATCATTTAATTATTGTTGTACCTGAAAGTAATATTAGCTTGAACAGTTGTAATTAAAGATTGTTTTATTAATTTAATATTTCCTGTAATGTTTTCGCGATAAGTATTGTTAGTAAAGTCTACCTAGGTATCAGTTTCGGTAAAGAATTTGTCAAAGACAGAGCTGAAAAAAGTGACAGACGTATATAACCAGAGTTTAAAGAACCACTTGTTGCAGACGAAAAATTGTCTCGTGTAAAAAAAAATTAAAGATTTCCATACACTGCTTATTGTTTTGTTTTTCAAGAATTTTTTTTTTCAACATACTAAGATTTATGTATAATCTAACAAGCAAACATTGCCAACAACGAATAGATGAGATTTGAATTAGTACATGACACTCATTATGAATTGTTAATATTAAATCATACACTTAAGAAACATCGTTGGATAAAAGATATTCAAAATAAGTCTGAAATAAGAAAATAAAATTAATGTCATAAGAAAGAGTATGGACAAATCATAGGACTGAAACATGTTTAAATGATTCAAAACTCATTGGAATATTTTCATTGGCAACACATAGACGTTGAGATTTTATAAAAAGAAATAGATTAGATCAAACCACATTATTATGATAATTTGTCTTCTCTGATGTGTAGAAGACTTGAACATAAATTCAAGTCCTGGCTGCTAATAAATTTTTATTGAGAGCCTCCCACAAAGACTTTGAAGGCACCAATTATAATAGAAATCTAGCGCCACTGAGTTGTGGGTTGCTGAATTGGTCAGAAGATTAAATGGTCAAATTTGTTGGCAGTTAAGCTTTTTCAAACCTTTCTTCAGGATTAAGTGGTATCCCAAGATCTCCTGTACGTAGTTTTCGGCTGATCTCTTCAATCTGTAGCTGATCTGTGAACCAATGGATTAGAAAGGGGCAGGAACCCCAACAGTTAGATAAATAATAACCATACACAATGCAACTATACATGTTTATACTACAATGAGAGATTAAAAATTTCTTGTATTACCATGTTACAATATCAATTTGGTTGATTAATAAACTTGTCCTTCACATTGTTTTACCTTACCTCCTTTACAATTTTGTAATGCGAGTGATTTTTTTACTTTGATCAAAAAATTGTCCAAGTTCATACTTACATTTCAAATGCTATCTGAGTTTTATTAATATTCGCGCACGCTTATATATAGAATAAAAAATTTGTAAGCATAAAACTAAGCTAATCCTAATCTAGAAACGATTAGAAGTAATATACTCACACAAGTATGCCTTTTCCTGATCTGCTGTGAGGTTGGTCGGCAAAACAGTGGGCATTCCTGGGATGAAGGTCTTTTCATGTTCGCTCCCACCCCACCTGGACTTTCTACGTTTGCGGCGTTCCTCTCTGGACTCTTTTTCTGTCACAATAACAAGATTTAAAAATATTTAAAAAAAAGAGCATTGCATTTAGTTACCAATACAAAAGTGTATTTTATGACCAAAGACACACTACCACCCCGTTGTCGTAGCCAACCTTGCATACACATACACAGCTATCGTGCATTCTGTACTTTTGCAAGTACATTTTACTCAACAATCAACCAAACTTACCATCAGCCTCGCGCTTGGTGGAGGACTTATCCAACGCGGTCCCGTTGGCTATAGCCGCGGAGACGGCCGCAGCTGCAGCAGCTGCTGCCGCGGCGGCTGCTGACACTGGGGTGCCGTTGCTCGTCGTCGAGGACGAGCCGTGCAGATAGCTGGGATTCAGCAGCGACATGAAATTACGTGATGACATGTTGCCTGCTTGTATTTTGTCTTCTCCTCGTCCTCTCGCGTCGCTGGTCGAGGAGCGCGAGTTTTCGTTTTCGGAGCACTGCTATATACGGCACACGGTAATGTTATAACTTTGGTTATAATACAAGCGCGTCGCAAACAGTATACCTATAAACGTACACGTAGGACGGTATACAGGACTAAATTGCGCGTACACAGGAACTAACGAAAAAATGGCGTCCAAGCTAAGCGCGCACAGCCGCACAGTTGCTCTCCATACCATACAGTTATAAAGTATATAAAGTACCGAAGCACCCCAACCTAACAGTAACTAACTATTCATGCACGGCTCACGCCATACAGCGTACCTATACACACACACTGCCTGACAGTGCAGACTCTGCACTACTTACTATATTTTCACTTCTTCGCGGATCATCTCCTTTTGTGACGTGTCATGTGTATATATTTTTTTTTTTTTTTT